TCAGCTTTGTTGAACTTACCGCTTGTATCATGTGGATATGACATATTTTTGGTGGCCTCTTCTCAAAAAACGCCGTCAAGATACGTGCGCATTTGCTGTGCATATGTCCAGCTAATGAAAGGGACATTAAGAGGACCACATTTTGATTCATCGCTCGTGACGCATATTTTCCATCCATCTTCGTCAGTTTCTTGCCACAAATTCCACAGCTCTCTATCTGATGCGACCCACCTGTCGAGGTACATTTCGACATGCGTTCACCGACCAAATCGTTCTTGCTCTGTAAATGAAAATCATGCTTCACAGGGCTTAAGCATTACCAGTTCATATTTTACCATTTCACAAATGAAACAGCACTTTTTGTCAATATCCTTGGTCAACGTCTTCTTGCCATCTTTATCCGACAATTCAGATATTTCAGTTTTCACTGCTTCATTCTTCTTTTGAGCCACCTGAAACAACATTTCCACGGACACGCAGAATAGATGCCAGGCAAACTGCTTCCCAAACATCACCAACTCAAAAGAGAAAGATTTTCAAACCTCTGGCGCCACAGGCCATAATTCTGTTGAATAATAACGTTTAAGAGCGTCATTGAGAAATTTGCTAACATCGCGAGATGTGATGGAGATGCCACTCTGAAATTATGGCATCCATGCCGTTTTTCAAGATAATCGCGATATGGATAATCGGCACTATTGCATTATTACAACCCCAGTAGGGGTGAGATGGGTCAAAAAAAATTTTCGCTGAAACTTCTCTATGGGGTTATCGAGGGTCCTGATCACGAATATGATATCCATTTTTGGCGCTGGCGCCACAACTGATTCCCACCAAATTCGCTGTAAACTTCTGTATAGGGGTTATTTGGGGCCCTGATTACGAATATGACATTCGTTTTTGTTGTTGCGCTATTCGGCGCCTATTTCCTGCTCGTCTGCGCCCTCGCACTAATTAGATCGCAATCAGGACTAAGCCTTTGAATAGTGGAGGGCTCCAAAGTGAGTAGGCCACTCCCTGTGGTCTGACACACTCCAACTTTTGCCACACGGTGCGTGGTTTACCCACTCCGGAGTTCACTCCCCTCCCCTAGGCTTAGTCGTAGGCGCTGTAGGTGAGAAAGCATGAAAGCAAAATATGCGTTAAACAGCGCGAACGACAAAAACGAATGTCATATTCGTAATCAGGGCCTCAAATAACCCCTATATACAAGTTTACAGCGAATTTGGTGAGAATCAGTCGGGCGCCACTGGCGCCAAATGGCGCCAATTTGGCGCCAGCGCCAAAAATGGATATCATATTCGTGATCAGGACCCTCGATAACCCCCATAGCGAAGTTTCAGCGAAAAAATTTTTTGACCCATCTCACCCCTACTGGGGTTGTAATAGTGCAATAGTGCCGTATTATTTTCAATCGTACAATCCTAATGCAAAATCGTACTTCTGAAATCCTATTCAAAGCAGCAACTAGATTTTGAGGAATATCCCCATCCGTCACATACACTGTGCATCCAGAAGCATTCGGATCTTCGAAACGAGAGATCTCCATTTCCCTGCCATTGCCATTTCAAGCCATACACATACTGAGCCTGTGGCAACAAAAACTTTGAAGCAAAGAACAAGTATGCGTTAGTTGTGCTAGGCTTACCGCTTGTACCAGGTGTACATGGCATAATCTTGGCTTTTCTTTCGTGACGCGCTCAGCAAGGGTTCGTGCTCGTCCGCGGCTCATTTGCCCCAGCCAGTGAAAGAGACATTAACAGAATCGAGTTTTGTTTTTTAGCCTTGGATGAACACTTTTCACCCATCACTGCCAACATTTTCCCACAAATCCCACAGGGCTTCGTTTTCATCGGTCCATACCCCCGCCCCGGCAAGAGTTTCTTAACAAGGAGCATTCCGGTATTTCATCAGGTTCCAAGTCGCCCGATTCCCCATCACTTTCACTCATCGGAGCTTCATCTCCACGTGATGACCTAGAACCGACGGCTAATTAGATTCAAATCAACAATGTTTCTAATTTGGATTTTTTTTTCCACCCTCTGCGTGGTTATTGGTCCACATTTGGTGGTAGAATATATAACGATTGAAAAACTCTTGAGAAAATCTGCTGACATCAGACTGAGAGTGTGAGGAGCTACCCTAAATCAAATTTTCGAAAACGCTTAGAACAGCCACGATGAAATACAAGCCTACAACGGCAGCGATTACATAGATTTGCCCGTTTATATGGAGCCGTGGGGGGGGGGGGCTCTGCTACGCCAAGTGGCGAAAACGCGAAGAATTCCGTCATCAAAACCCAAAAAGTATGAAACCCTCGTTTTGGTTTTTCCACGGTCATAATAGGTAACAGCTTAAGAAAAGTGGACGGTGTGACGCCCAACCGCGAACGCGTTTTGTGTCCAGCGCCAATCCATGGCGCGCAGTCGTGAGTGCTCCAGTTGTGCCGCTGCTGGCAGTACAGTTTTCGTCCAAATCACCAACTAACTAGTGGGCGGATCGCTTTTGGGGGCGGAGTGCTTTCGAAGTCCTGCTCAGCAACCAGCGCACCTTTCGTCGTGAAAGCGCTACACCTCGCTTCCTTGGCAGCCAAGTAACTGATTCGTGTGGTGCATATGCTTCCCCGATGCGCTTCCTCCTTTATCGTAATCGCTGCCTTTAATGTATACGTACTTCTGCTTTCCTGTTCAAAAGCGTAACCAGATGATGAAGGAATATCTTCATACATTACGTACGCTGAGCTTCCAGAAGTACTGCATTCGTCAAAATGTGATACCCTTTTTCCTGCGATTACCATTTCAGCCAGAAGATATTGAGCCTGTTAAAAATGAAATCAGATTTTACAAATGAGTGATAAATAAAGTGTGATAAAGATTGATGAAAATGTATACCATTTCACTTCAGACGAACTTTTTTCGAATCAGAGCTAGCGCTTTATCAAAATGGACGTGGGACACTTCTCGATCTTTTGCAAATGATCGAAGCATTTTCCAGACCTGAGCTTTTTTTCAGATGACCGCAGAATTTCTCATTCTGTTTTTTTTTTTCAATCAAGTTGTATGCAGCTCAAATTAGCTTCAACTGTCCATGCTTTCCATTCTATTTCTACATGACCGACAAAACAGACGTGGCAAATCCGATAAACAAATGCGGAATTTCTAACAAGAAAGCCAAGCCATCGTGTGGAGACATCATACAACCATCATCGTTCCATCACTTCTAGATGACTGCAGCGTCAGCTCAGCCGTCATCTCTCACAGCAGCCTCAATTACTCATGGAAACAATATGCGTCAACATGGCTCTGACAGTTGATAGAACATCGATTCAAGCGTCATCGAGAAAACTTATGAAATACGATCCCCCCTCCTAACGGCCGAAGTCCATGAACGACTCTGCCAACAGCCGAAAATGAAAACGAGGTTCAACTCTCCGGAAAACATTTCATGAAGCGACCTTTCTCACAAGCCGGAGTAAAGGTTTGACAAACAAAAACAAACAATGCTTAACCTTTTCAAGAAAACTTTCATAAAAAAGACCCTGCTACACCACGCTTTACCTTAAGTCGTTCAACAAGTAGAAAAATTCGAATGAAAATTATTAATAATGAATTCCACCAATAAATGGAGCAAAAAACTACGAACTGGTCATAAAAACAGCATTCTATAGCAGTATTTATTCTTCCTTTATTTCCTTTAGGAGGCTTGGTCTTAGTACTCCACAGGGCACCTTCTCAAAGTCTAACGTCTAACCAGCTTATTCGACTGAAAGAAGCCTTTCTAACCGCCTTCGCCAGCTGTGTGTTGACTGGACTTTGGCGTTGACCGTGGAGCAGCTTATTTACTATTGAAATTTGAACAAATATTCAAATGATTATAACTTTCTTCAAAGTTACGAATTTTCAATCTGAAAGCAGATTTGGAAGTTTTGTGAAGAGCTCTTTCTAACCAGTATTGAAATTACAGGAAATATGAAATAACAAATTTAGACTGATTAACGAGGAATATTCGCGAGCTTTTACACTTTTCGAAACCATAAGTTCCTTCAAAGTTGTTTAACCTTAAAAGTCAATATGGCAAAACACAAAATATGATAACTGCTTCTATTCAAACTGTGGATTGGGCCATCCTTAATTCGGTTCGGTTAATTAAAATGGCACGTTGAGGATTTTTGCAAAAAACGAGAACTTACAAGGAGCGCAAAGTTTTTCAACTTCTCAGTGCAATAACTTCCTTCAAATTCGTCTAATTTGAAAAGTTCGTATGGCTGTAACTAACACATTGTTCTATTCAATCCGTTTAGAAAAATTTGACCAATTCAGTATTTCAGAAATGGTTCCGTCGAGGATTTTAGCCGAAGTACCGCCAAGCAGTTCTCCTTCTCTTCCGGCACTCTTTCAGCAACCATTGCTCCTTTCTGAGACGATTTTGTTTTTATGCAAAAATGCGAAAGCAGGTTTGGAATCAACAGGGTTTCTTTCCAATAAATGTAAAAGTATACAGCAAATTCTAACTTTTACGATTGACATGTTTGTAAATTTGACGCTAAAACTGCATTCCTTCTTGAACAGATGATTCCCCTGTCATTTTAAGCTGCCCCTTTCAGAATCCTCTTGATTTTCCTGAATCGAGAACTTTTTTTCAGAGAGTCTAGTTGAAGCGCGCGCAATGACTGGGCCCACTCTGGGACGCGCCGTGTGCTTCACATCCCTTCATATTGGTGGACTCATTTGAAAGATAAAATATCCGTTGGAAAACGTGCGAATTTCGGATTCTTTAACCTTGTCGTAATAAATCACTGAGGCAGCCTAGATTGTAACTCAAACCCCTTCGGACCATGAAAATTTTATGTGTGCGGAACTGTTATTGGAAATCCTGGCAATCAATCACTCCTTGATGTTTGTCCTTTGACAGGTGATGATCCTACTGCATCGATCCGGCCGATCTCTTCCTCCCAGCGGGCCAAATACGACCCCCCCCCCGCCGACCTGTCGAGGATTCCTCAACGCACGCTTGACCCTGGTTGATACTGAAACACTAGCACGCGCTTATCTTTTTGCGTATGACTACAATTACAATGGGTGTAGACGACAGTGAACATGGCTGCGTTAATATCGTTACCCTTCAGGAGTCGTTGAGTCCAGTATTATTCTTCAGACGTTGTTCAACGATCTCTTCATCATCCTGCAAGACGTCCGAAGTCAAGGCCCTTCTATCGTTGCCTCATTAATCTGACGTTGGATACAGTATTTTCCGCCTATGGTGCGTAACAATATTTCTTGCCGGCTCTCGTTGTTCATTTGCACAAACATTTC